TCTAGCAGACCAGCACAACAAATTAAAACCTGGGTCCTTGGAATTGACCATCCTGGCTGTCAACACTGTTCCCGACTTGATCGTTGAGCCACCAGTTCCACCCATATCGATGGCTATGCTGAATATACTGTCTTCATCTACTCCAGTCTCGACTCCCAATCCAAGTGCCAGCGTTGCATCCCCGGAACAATCTGGCAATGCACCCACGCCAACCAGCGCCGGTCCCGCCACCTACAATGCCCCCACGCCAACGGACTTTTCACTTGAGACAGACTCAGAAGCCGTCCTGACTGACATCTGCGACGATTCTTGGCTAGCCATCCTATCACACCAACTCAACAGCTCTCCACACCTCACCGAATTCCGGCCCGCCCTGTCCAGCGGGTATCTCCTCCGCCGCAAGGGCGCTTCTGATGGCGACGGTGTGTTTGCAATCTCCGTCAATCTCATCTATTCCCCGCGTCCTCCCCCATCGCACGACAACGTCCTGAAAGATACCTTAAGTATGTATCGGGACCTGGGCAGTCTTGCCCGGGCCAAGGGAATATGCAGTGTACAAAACAACACACTGCCTTGGCATGTCGCCACAGCTCTTCGCGCACAAGAGCTTCTGAGTTATGTTTTTTGAGCGGAAGTATCTTGTTACTGGGGCGTTATGGTTTCTCTGTCTACTTGGGATCTCTTGTCTGTTACGGCTTTTTCGGTGGTGGGATGTTTTATTAGCTAGTTTGGGTAGATATGTATACCCCTGGAGGCAGTGCATTTGAATTCCATTTTATTGCGCATAGTTGTCAAAGTATCGAGGAGTTTAGAAGCATAGTTCTCACAATATCAATGGATATATCTTTATGTCCGCCTTTTTGCATATGTAGTAGATTTCCAAAAAAATGACACTGATATGGCTGTACCCTGGAGTACCAACCCGGAATGCCAAGTTAACCTTGGAAGGTTAGTATACCTATGTAAGCTTTTGGCACCCTAAATAAGTAACCAAAAATAGCATTTCTCCTACGACACCACCTCACATATAAAGCCCGTAGCTTCCATTTTTGCGCCATCTCATTCTAACAAAGGTTCTGAGGGGAAGGGGCGGAATTGGATAAACGGCATGGTGTGGGCCGAGTGTTCTTTCGGACTGGGCGTGGACTGAGTGCTCAATAGATGCCTCTGGTAAATCTCTGAGCAATCAACGCACTGACTCTGAGTCTCATAAAAGCGGGAGCTCAGATAGGAAAGCCCCGGCAGAGCAAACACACTACATAGAGTTAAGTATTCACTTCTTCCAAGGTTACACAGCTTTGAAAAGGTGACAGATATTGTCTCGAGACTTGGTCAACTTAGGATATTTTCAAACTTTCAATAAAATATGCATGGAGTCCAGCAAATATGCAAAGGATGTGCAAATGAAGTCAACAAAAGTACATTCAAGAAAGAAAAGGGGCCAGCAGAAAACCTCAACTCCGCACCGAAAAAACTCCCAAGAAAAGACAAGAAGATACACCGAAAGCAACATAAGTGCTCGTTGCTTTAATTGCCAACAATTGTACATAAAAGTCGTGTTTCGACGTAAAAGACTCGTAACGCAGCTCGTCATCGTGGCAGATAGTATTGAATGCCAACAGAAAGGGTATCGTGTCGCAGAAAATATGGTCGTAGAGGTTTGTGTGATATCGTATGTATGTGTATGTTCCACAAAAAAAGGAGGCAATCAATGCGTGTAAGGCGAAACCGAGATAGCCCAAAGCCAAGGTCAGGGTCAAGGGTGCAGTGATTGCTGCTGCTATCCTGCCTTATCACCCATCTCCACTCTCTGCATCAGACTCCTTCTTCCTGGAGAAGAATGAGACGTGATTATTTACCGCCCAAATGGCAAATCCAGCGATTGCAAGAAGAAGAAAGAGGACGATGATGATGATCGCGATGGTGATGTTGCGCTGAACCATCTTGGGTGGAGATGATCAGCAGATCGTGGTATGTGATTTGAGATAGGTAGAGAGCTTCGATCGTTGTCGAGTCGATAAGAGGATAAGGTCAAAGACAAACAAGGCGAGGAGTTCAAGGTGCTAGGCCGTGTACAGGGCAGCAATGCGTTTGGGTGGGATTTGTATACAGAAGTATACAGCCTCGTCGGGCTCCTTTCGCACAAACTCTCCTTTTTTCGAGGAAAGTAAAAGCACAGATCGGAAGAATGTGAGAAAGTAAGAATTTAGAGAAAATTGGATCAGCTGGAATTTGAATGGGTTTTAAACAGGACCTTTTTTTTTCCCAGCCATGTGCTTTTAGAGGGGCTGGGGAACTCAATCTACTAACCACATGCTGTAGGTACCCTGAATGCTCCGTACATTATACGCATATTATGGGCTAGAAATTATTAGCCAAAGCACTCTATTCCAACGTTTTCAATGAAATATAGCTAATGTTGGATGTTACGGAGTACACAAGTCCAGACATGAGATTCAAAACCTGAGGCCACAAATATATTCACGTGATCCAGGCCATCAACAGATGGAAGTTACTCTAGAACGAAGCAAACTGATTTGATACCATTTTAGATTCAGTAATAGTACACGGAATAAAGGAAAAGAACCATCATTAGTCTGCTCACATAGAGACAGTATTGTTCTTTACATGAACCGCCGCATCCATAGACTTAACCCAAAATCTTCAATCCTCCCTTGGTTTTGGCTGGCTTTTTGATACCGTCCTGCTTCACTTTTCCACCTGCCCCACCGGCGGTATCTCCCTTAGGACCCTTGCCTTTGCCTTGTTTCTTTCCATTCTTTCCATTCTTGGGGTTCGAAGCTGGGCGAACCTCGGTCACGGCTCGGCGCAGTTGGATTGGGTGCGAACCAATGTACTTTCCTTGCATTTCTCGTCCCGCCTTGAAGTAGTCCTCACTATTACTGAAGCTGACGAAACCATAACCTTTGCTCTTCTGGGTTCGCTTCTCTCGGACGACACGCGCTTTCTGGACCGATGGGTAGCGAGAAAATGCCTTCAGCAGGGACTCATCCGTCACTTCGCCTGCGAGGTTACCCACAAAAAGGCGGAAATGTGCCGGGTCCCACTCTAATAGGGTCTGATCGGTCCATGTTTCACCGCCACCAGAACGAATAACTGTTTTTTGTGACTCGGGCTGCGGGACAGGAGTACCAGCGCCGGGGGTTGGGGTTCCAGCTCCTGTGTTCACGCCTGAGCCAGGCTGGTTGCCTTGGTTCTTGGTGGGGTCTTCACTGGGTCTGTTGTAGGCGCTCTGCCACTGCGCAATCTGAGCTTCAGTCTCTGCATCAAAGCCGGGGGCGTTGCCACTCTGTGGGAACCCTGCGTTGGCCCGGTTGGGGGTAGGTCCGAACGGGTTCGTGATGTGTGGAACGGTCGGGCCGTATGTGTTTTCAGCGTACTGAGGTTGTCCATAGTAGGAAGGCGCACTCTGGTATGCCTGGGGTTGTTGATAGTGGTTGACGTAGCTGTTGGCGGGGGTTGCGTATCCAGTAGAGACTGGCGGAATCGAGACCGAGTGGGCGTTGGCACGATGCGGCAAACTGGAGGCTACCGCGCGCGGCTGGAAGGCCGTGAAGGCGCTGTAGCCTGTTGGTCGAGTTCTAACACCATGGCCTGCAGGATTTGTGGGAGGCTGCGCAGTGTTGGAGGATGGAGGCGGGCGGGGCGGAAGTGACGAGGGAGTCTGTTTGAGACCTGGAGGAGGCGGAAGGGACATGATGAATGGGATATTCAAATAGGGAGAGAGAATAAGATGCGAGAGACGAGAGTGCTAGATGCAAAGTAGCAACCGCAACGTACCTTCAGGGCCTGACTGACGCCGCAGTCATTCGCCAGACGTCACGCTTGAGATAGGCACCCGAAGGATGAGCACTTGCAAGAGGCGAAACGTTGCGCGGCTTGCAAATGATCACAGTGAGAAGCCGGGACGACTACGAAAATGCGCGTATTCCAAGGACTATGCTGGATCGGGATGCTTAATAAAACATCGGACGAGACATAAGAGATGACTTCTTTTTCTGTTTCTGAATGCGCTGGCTAGGCCGTTGGCGACGGCTGCGTCACATGACTTGATCAAGCTTTCCTGACTCAGCCATTATATAAGCACACAGCAGCCCTCGTGCTGAGTCATTGCCGCTGCCGGAGCTGCAACCCCCACTCTAGTCTCAAAGCAGCCTAGCTCATAAGCCGGTTATGAGCTCATCGGCAGGTGATTTCTCCGTCGCAGCTCTACCAGAACAGTTCACCGATGCGTGGACAAGGTGGGATGGAGTTGATTCGGACGGTTTCGATGAGTTACATGGATATTCGGGTGATTTTCAGTTTCTGCATCATCATTTTCTACCCGATACCTACAATATACATGCTCTGTACTATCTACATTATATACAATTCTTCAGTTCAAGTTACCCCTCCATGCCCCGCTATTGAACAGTACACAGTAAAAGCTGCAATGTCAATCACGTACTATGTGAAAAGGGAAATCCGTAGCATATAGCATTAGGCATATAGCATATAGGGAATTGAAACCGGGTCGGATAATGCTTTCCAAATTGTTACAGAACCCGAGTGGGTTGACACCGGACGACTCTGCTCCTGTACCTAATACTTGGCGCTACACCGGAGACAGTAAGAATAACGCTGGTACATGGTACCCCCGCCGGTACGTCCCACCAAGATGACGGAAGAGTTGCTCCGTCAGCCGGCCTACTTCTTCTTCTTCCCCTCCTCTCCCTCTTCATCTTCCTTTCTTCTCTAGATTCACCTTTTCTTTACTCAATACCATATCTCACATCTAATCGTCATGGCTGACCAGGCTGTGTAAGTTATCTACTTTCTTCCCTCCCCCCACTTCGCCAATTCCAGCATCCCAGCATCCCAGCCCAGTGGTTGCATCCTGCATCTTGCAGTGATAACAGAGCGCATGGATCTTCAATGCTGCTCAGACATCATGCAGCAGGTCTATTTGGAAGACCAATTCCTATAGATGCTCCCGCAAGATGATACCGTTGGAGCTACTGCGAGTCCGGTCTTTTTTTCCGGACGCACGGCTTTCCCTTTCTTTTCGTTCCCATTGTGATTTTTACCCAGCTGTTGACAAGACATTGATCGCTGACGATAGCGCCCGTCTCGCCGGCATCAATGTCGGCGCTCCGGCGCACTTTGCTCCCAGTGCTGATTTCGGCCTCATCGGTCTGGCCGTTATGGGCCAGAACCTGATCCTGAACGTCGCTGATCACGGCTTCACCGTTTGCGCCTACAACCGTACAACCGCCAAGGTTGACCGTTTCTTGGAGAACGAGGCCAAGGGTAAGCTTTACAGAGAATAACTTGTTCCACTCCTATTTACAAAAATGCTTATTATAAAACAGGCAAGTCCATCGTTGGTGCTCACTCCATCCAGGAGTTCTGCGCCAAGCTCAAGCGCCCCCGTCGTATCATGCTCCTCGTCATGGCCGGAAAGCCCGTCGATGACTTCATCGAGTCCCTTCTGCCTTTCCTCGAGAAGGGTGATATCATCATTGACGGTGGTAACTCCCACTTCCCCGACAGCAACCGTCGCACTCAGTACCTCACTGGCAAGGGCATCAGCTTCGTCGGCAGCGGTGTCTCCGGTGGTGAGGAGGGTGCCCGTTACGGACCCTCTCTCATGCCCGGTGGTAACGAGGAGGCCTGGCCCCACATTAAGGACATCTTCCAGAGCATCTCCGCCAAGAGCGACGGTGAGGCCTGCTGCGATTGGGTCGGTGACGAGGGTGCCGGTCACTACGTCAAGATGGTCCACAACGGTATTGAGTACGGTGACATGCAGCTGATCTGCGAGGTAAGGCTACTCTCAAGCAGCAAAATATTCTCGGGCCACCACTCACATCATTTAGGCCTACGATATCCTGAAGCGCGGTCTCGGTCTCTCCTCCAAGGAGATCGGTGATGTTTTCGCCAAGTGGAACACCGGTGTTCTTGACTCCTTCCTGATCGAAATTACCCGTGATATCCTTTACTACAACGACAACGATGGCACTCCCCTCGTTGACAAGATCCTCGACAAGGCTGGTCAGAAGGGTACCGGCAAGTGGACCGCCATCAACGCTCTGGACCTCGGCATGCCCGTCACCCTGATCGGCGAGGCTGTCTTCTCCCGCTGCCTCAGTGCTCTCAAGGACGAGCGTGGCCGTGCCAGCGACATCCTTAGCGGTCCTACTCCCAAGTTCGAGGGCGACAAGCAGGCTTTCGTCGACGACCTTGAGCAGGCCCTGTACGCTTCCAAGATTATCTCTTACGCCCAGGGCTTCATGCTCATCCAGAACGTAAGTCTTCTTCTTGTCGGCGTTACTGATAGTCAGTTTCTAACGCTCGTCCCTAATATAGGCCGCCAAGGAGTACAAGTGGAAGCTGAACAAGCCTTCCATTGCCCTCATGTGGCGCGGTGGTTGCATCATCCGCTCCGTCTTCCTTAAGGATATTACCAACGCCTACCGCAACAACCCCGATCTCGAGAACCTGTTGTTCGACGACTTCTTCAAGAAGGCTATTAACAACGCCCAGAACGGCTGGCGTAACGTGATCAGCAAGACTGCTCTGTGGGGTATCCCCGCCCCGGCCTTCTCCACTGCTCTCAGCTTCTACGACGGCTACCGCTCCAAGAACCTGCCCGCCAACCTGCTCCAGGCCCAGCGTGACTACTTCGGTGCCCACACTTTCCGCATCAAGCCCGAGAACGCCAACGAGAACTTCCCCGAGGGTAAGGATATCCACGTTAACTGGACTGGCCGTGGTGGTGACGTGTCGGCCTCGACTTACATCGCATAAGCGTGTTAAGTTGAGGTTCGCAAGAAGGGTAAAAAATTTGGATGTTCAATGTATTTAGATGTCTTCATGGAATGCCCATGATCCGTAACGAAGTCACTTGTTTTTTTCTTCTACATATCTCTTTGCTGGCTACGATTTAAGTAAGCCTCCACCCATCACAGGCCAATACGAGGTATACAGTGCGCGTTCAAACCAACAAGGACAATGCCGACCGGGTCTAGGGGAGACTAGACACTGCTACATCAATATTTGAGGGGTCCCGGTGGTCCTTCCTTACCTCCCTTGTTCCCGTAACTTGGGGTTGGGATACGCAATTTGGCATCGGTCTTTGATGCAGTGGCAGGCTGTTACTGCTAGGCGAGGCCATCTTGGGCCTCCAGCCTATCTCGGAGGGAGGGTTTTTGGAGTCTCTCTATGTCCATTTCCGTCGAGACGTTAAGGTTGCATTCACATCCCAAATCCTTGGAACTCCATGAAGCTGTTGCTGACTTACTATATGAGGTTCCCATAGATAAATATGGACGAGTACACGATGAGCTGAAATGAACCTTCTCAGGTGTATATGCAGTTCAATTTGTCGAGGAAGTGAGAATAACCTCAACTTGGATGCTGGCAAGTTCGTACGCAGCCCGTGTATGTGTGAAGCGCGAAGGTATAAAGACTAGTCTGCCCTAGAGCCATGTAGATAGACCAAACTGTATCTTTCTGGTGGCACTAGCTAAATTTAAGAGTATACGGGATGTCTGTTTGTAGGCTCTCGAGCCGAGTTAATATCTCGTTGGCGAGCTGTAAAGGCCCGGCAGTTCTTGTTCTTCTTCCTCTTCCCGTTTCCCTTCGTTGCCCAGGGCTCCAGGGTCGACCTGGGCAGTTCGACATCGATCCTAGTCAGCCCTGGGCGTGGAAGGTCCTCGATGTGCTCGTCAAGAATACTCATCCCGGTCGTTCCATTCGTATGTTCTATCCGCTGTTATACTAGTTGCAATCTTATCTCTCTTGCAATTTCATCTCATCGGCAACGAATCCAAAGTGTTTCAATTTTTTTTAATAGATAGTTTAACTCTACCAAGTGACAACCACCAATATCATCAAATAGATCAAGAATCATATAGTCGTAAGGAGAAAAAGTCGGTCCCCAAGAAACCATCAAGTCGTATCGATCATGCAGGGAATATGCTAAATGAGCAAAGCAATCCCAGAACTTCGAAAGTGAAGTGGAAGTGAAAGTGGAAGTGAAGAAACAAAGAAGAGACAAAGACGCCAAAACAAAACAATAACAAAACCCAATCTCTATTCACATCGCAGTAATCAATCTGTGATTGGAGTGGAGTGTCCAGTCTATGAAATCAGCCAACCGCGCAAGTAAGAAATGGTTTAAAAGCAAAACAAGAATCAAGAATTGAAATGGAGGCCCAATCGCCCAAGATGAAGTTTGAGAGGTAGGTGAGGGAAGAGCGTGAGACCTAAGAAGTTAAGATAGAATATAAAACCAAAAAAAGAAAAAAAGTATCAGACTCATACTTCACGACCAAACATGGAAGCCCGGGAGCCCTGCTCCCCTTCTCCCGCTACCACGCCGGGACCCAGCAGCCGATTCAGCTCCACCGTGGTTCCCATGCCTACCTTCATCTAGACTACGGCGCGAGGCGCCGAAGTCGCTCATAGCGAAGAGCAGCGGCTCGTCGTCTTCGGGCCCTTGTCCAGACAGCGTCCGACCCGTGCTTGGCCGCTGCCCAGAACCGCGACGGATTTCAAGCGTGGAGTTGCCGCTGTTGCTTCCGCTGGCGTTGCCATCGCGGTCCTGGTCGCGCTCCGCTAGGTGTGGGGCGAGGTTGGCGCCTCGGGCGAGACTGCTGGATGCTGAGCTTAACGAATGCCCGCCCGAGCAGCCGCGGCCGCGGGAGCTGGCGAACCGGGGCTGGTAGATATGGGGGTTGGAGGAGGCTGAAGCGCTAGTTGGTCCGGACATCTGCCCGCGGAGGGATGCGCTGTCCCGGTACGGTCCCGTCGTGGAGACCGATGGCCCGCTTCGGTCCTCGGTCGGTGATTGTTGGTTTTTCCGGGACTCGTTCTGCTGTTGGGCGGCACCCAGCGTAGCGTTTGCGGGCTCATCGGCCCCGAGGCTGAGGCTGCGCATGCCGAATGGGAATATTTCATCGTCGTCGCTTGTAACAATCGGCCGGCGTACAGCTGCGGAGCTCGAGCGGCGGTAAGCAGGATCGAAAATCCGCGGCGATGTTGGAATGTCAATAGCACCTGCGGTAGAAGAAGGCGCTCGCGTATTTTCTGTGCTAGAATGTTCTTCCAGTGGGGGGTCGTGGTGTATGCGAGGGAGTCTTGAGTGGTGGTCGGTCTCAATGTCATCAGCGACGCTGTTCGAGCTCAGACGAGAGCGGATAGCAGGTGTGTGGGGAGTGTGAGGGGTGTGGGGGGACATGGGCTTCCCCGGAGAAGAAGCTGTGGAGATGGAGGTGCCCGCAACCATCGGTGGGACACCTGACAATTGCTTGCTCGAAGAAATGGAAGAGCGATGCATTTGCATAGACTGTGACATTGAGTCGGACAGCGCGGCGTTTGAATCCCGCATACCGCGGAAGCGAGCAAGCGCTGCTGCAGTGGGGTTAGGACCAGGCTGAATAGATGCAGAGGTGGATGAGTTCATTAAGTCCTTCTTCGAATCAAGCATCTTCAAAAATTCGGAGATATTCTCATCGTCTGCTTGAATTGACTCTGCACTCGTGCCTGTAGCTTCCGTGAGTAGGCCGGACCCAGGCTGTGCATTGGATGATGTCGCGCTCGCTCGGCCACTGGAGTTGTCGTCTTCCAGTCTGTTTGTCCCTGCAGAAAGGCGGCCTCGTCGGTGACTAAAGGAGCTGCTGTACCGGGAGATCGGAGCAGGTTTGGGGGATGCGGAATTAGAGGATGATATAGCTTGTTCAGATGCGATATTTGTAGGTCTGCGCGCTGAAGCGGCAGAAGAAGGGGGCGGCATGACGCGTGAATCGGCAGATGTTCCTGTTGGGATGCGTGAAGACATATTGCGGGGAGACACTCCTAAGGGAGAGTCTGCTAAAGCCGGGGAAGCAGAAAGAGGGGGGGCTTTGAAGGGCTGGAATGAAACGGAGGGACGGCGTGGGAAACTTGAGCCTCCATCTTCACCAGCGATCTGCGCAGCACGTCCTGAAGGAACGACTTTGGCAGGAGGGAGGAGTCTCCTAGGTGAGTCTGTCGGGGAAGGAGACCCCGCGCCCGAATCTCTCATTGCACGAAGTGTTGATATAGGACTCGCACCTGTTGTGGGGCCAACCTGATGGAAGGTCGAGAGACTGCCGTATGCACGTGTGCAATCTGGACTCTCAACGGCCCTTCTCTCCACTGGCACAGAACCGACTTCAGGATTTGGGCGGTTGACATCGTCTGAAGGCAACGATGGACGAAAGATCTCGTCGTCAGCACCCATGAACCGCGAGCTCAGGAGCGCTTCCGAGTCGTCAACACGGAAATCGCAGTTCGTCCGATACATGACTTGAACTGAAAAGGGGCCTGCGGGCGACTCCGTGACCCCAAAGCTGTAGGTGTCCACCACTTTTTCGCTTCCCTCACTCAAAGGGGCTGTCAAATGATCCAATGAAAGGTCATCGCGAGCAGGGCTCCCACCTACCACACGGTACTTGATCTGGAGAGCTGGGCTCTGCCGCAACTTTTTGTTGCGTCTAGAGAATCTCCATGCGGGCAAGAACTTGGAGTAGGTGAATAAGGATCGGAAGAGCACAATGCTTTTCTTATACACAGTCGGCAGTATAGAGCCCAAATCTGCCGGAAGCCTGCTTGAGGACTCTCCCAACTCGATTCTCCACCGCTCCAAGATAATCTCGTCATTCTCCGATTGGTATGGCTTAGCACGGGCTCCCTGAAGCGCCGCGAGCGACTCGCGCACATCCCAACGCTTCCCATTCTCATCAAGAATCACCAAACTTTGATTATTTGTGAGTCCCTTTGTGTCTAGGTATGTTTCGATAACGAGTGGTGGTGGTCGATTGTCCGTTGCATCGCATGTTCTCCAAGGTCGCAGGGGTTCCCGAAGGACATCTGTGTCGTCTAATTCAACGTTGAACTGCAGCAAAACAAATATAGTTAACACCTGCTACTTTGATGTGGTGTCCCAAAAAGCATCATAAAACCATAGGATGAAAACGTACCCAGCGGTTGACTCTAGGGGACTCGGAGCCCTTGTTAAAGGAGGGAGGCAGTGCAACTCGCGAATGCAGGATAATCAAAGCGGCTTTTGTGTGATAGTTCTGTTGAGGAAGATATTAGCCATCAATAAGCCATCCTGATAAGCCATTGGAGGGGCGATCTGAATGACGATACCGATATTATCTGATTTAACCGGGTCAGGGCCTCCTTGCCCACTGCCGCATTCCTCCCCTGCTCGGACGGCTGAGGTCCCGGCTCTATTCCCAACCCCCTGGCAGAATTAGACCCCATATCGACAGCTGGGGAGCTCGGCGTGGCTTCCTGTTCTCTGCGGTCGTCCCGAGCAGTCGGTCTGGGTGGGAAGTTTGGCGCCGGAGACGGCACCGATCGGGGATGCTGATGCATGGTGGGCGGCTAATTGCGAGCGCGTGGTTAGCGACCATCAACAAGTATGCGAACAAGAGGCGAGAGCGGCATTACCCTGATGGAGCCCAAGGAGTGCTGGGTATGAGTGTTATCACCGCCGGAATCTGTTATCAGGAACGCAATCGGGCAGCGATGCTTCCAGGACTGAGGGCCATGCTAACAGAGGAGGGGAATGATAATCTTCTAAGGCCGTTGCTGGGTCTGAGACGCTAAATGATTCAAGATAAGACAATGGACGCCCAGCATGTGGTCTGGGGGTGACTCCGGCCTGGGACCTTCGGAGCAAGTCTAGAGCTTCTCCGCACGGGCAAATGCAGTTGGATGAACTCGTCGTGTAAGGCGTAGGAGAGCGAGAGAAATATAAGAAAGCCCGTGAAAAAGAAATGAGAAACAAGATGGATGCGGAGAAAGCCCAGAGAGAAGGGGTGTGATAATGAAGATAGTTCGTCTGTGACGCACATCCGGTGACTCGACGTATCTCGAGTGTCCTAGTCAGCCTAGAACGCCACACAGATGATGCAAACACGGGGGTTTGCTGCCTATATTCTTGATATTCTCTCTTATTCGCCTTTTACTCTTATCCATATATCTCCTACCCTTTTTATCTACTACAGGCTGTTGTACAAACCGGGGACCATGCACGGTCGCAAGGATCGCCGTACCCGGGCAAGGTACCCTGGAACCGATAAGCACCTGATCACGACTTAAAAGGCGTGATATCAAAATATCTGGAGGTATAGGCAGCTGATGGTGATATCATTTGGCTTTAGTTATATCTGAGTACGTACTATAAGTACATATGTACTTTATATCTTCCAAGATTTCCCCTTATTCTATTTTGGTATGTTACACGGTTATCTGATCCAACGTCATACATAACTTCATTCCATTGATCATTAGATCGGTGATTGAAATGATAGACATTATCTATTGAAAGAAAAAAGTTATATATAATCCCACATGGACAAAGGATGGCATAGTCTGACCAGAATAAACAAAGAGATAGTGGGAGAGCAAATTATATCCATGTGCATATGTGTAGATCAAAAACATGTACAAAAGTTGCGGCTCAAACCCTCAACGTGCATCATGTGCAATGGTAGTAAATATCAACATTTGCTTAAAGATTGGTGCTGAGCACTCCAACGGGGTCGCTCTTGACCTTCGAGTCCTGTTCACCCAGATTGAACAGCGCATCAATGAGCTTCACGAGAATAGGCTCAAGCTCCACACCAAGAGCAATCGGGTTCAGAATACTGCCAAGCTCAGTATTCGCGATGCAGCCACTCTTAGTCGTGCCAGCAAAGGCATTCTTGACAAAGTTAATGACATCAGGAATGGCAATGATTTCAGTGGTCGCATGGCCACCACTGGCATAAGTAGTAAACTTGACGTTCGCATCCCAGTTGCACCAGGAATTAACCATCTTTTTGGCATCGGCGTAAGGGATGACTTCGTCGTTTGTAGCGTGGTACACAAAGGTTGGTGCCGTCGGGGTCTCGTCCTTGTTGACAGCCATGCTGTTCTGCTTCAACACTGACTGAACGATCGGGTCGAAGATGAAATCCTCGCCCATCGATTGGAAGCTAGATTCAAAGATCGAGCGTTCAAAGAACGCCAAGAGATCTTCAGTGACGCATTCAGAAACGGCGGAGTCCAGGATCTTTTGGCCATCAGCTGTCATGACCTTGCTAATGAAAGTGTCCAGCTCGGCACCGTAGGCGCTCGGCTTTGAGAGACCAGCAATAGCTGGGGGCAGTAAGCCACTGAAGGCTGTGTTGTCAAGCTGATACATTGTGCCGGTGACATTCGAGGGAGTTCCACCCTGCACCCAGCCCTTAATGTTCAACTCTGACGCGTACTTGGGCTGCAAAGAGGCTGCCCAGCCGGTAGCAATGGCACCGCCTGAATACCCCATGCCGACAACCATGGGGTTACCGGTGAGACCCAAGGTCTTGAAGCTCTTTACGGCACGGATACCATCCAATACGCCCATACCTGCCAGGCGACCAGGTCCAAAGGCAGCCTCGGGTCCCTCATAATCGGGAGAAGCGACGGTGTAACCAAGAGCAAGGTAGATCTCAATGATCAATAGCTCGACCGAAGCGATCAAACTGTCCTGTGGCGCACCAAGCTGGTAAGCATAGCTAGGCTGGCATTTCGTCGCAGAGCTATCGTAGGCCGTGGCAAAGGAAACGAAACGGTCTAGCTTCGCGTTTTTCGGCTTGAACACCGTGGTAACTGTTGCAATGGCCGAGCCATTGACTGCAGTCGTGCGGTAAAGCAGCTGATAGGCTTCCACGTCAATTGGGATAAGACCGAAGAACGCGGCAGTGATGTCCCGTTGGCTCAGGATTGTCCCAGGCGCCTCAGAAGCGAAGCCAGCAGGCGGCTGATAGAACGGATCAGCGTCAGGAGCCAGAACCGTGCTGCGAGGGACTGGAGGTGCAGGTAGTGCTGAGGCAATTGAAGTGAATGCCGCCAGGCCAACCAGGGCAAGGCGCACCATGCGCACAAGGGACAATGCCATTTTCCCGCTCTATATACAGATTCAAGGCTGCGGTGCTGCATGGCGAAAGGGGGCGATCTTCATGTTATATACGTGGGGCGATCCATAGATTTTTCCTAAGAATGTGATTGATATCTATTACCGAGGCTGGCAAATAGGGCGACGATCATCTCACGGCCCCGGATGATGGGGAGGACTCCGTGTAGAGCCTGATCTGTCTGATGCCCTGCGGATCTCCCTGTTGATAGGATGTTAGTTTTATACATGTCGCCCACAGGAGCATGAACACATTAACGGATTAATCTGAGAATAAAGTTATCTGATAGACTCATCTCTTCATTTTTTTTATCTTCGATATCTGAATGAAGGTTGGGCCCAACAAAATTTTCGAATTTTTCAGACTTGTGGAAGATCGGCTCCAGCCCCGCATAAATTTTCTTTGTTCCCGATTGGGATTCATATACGACACTATGGATGCAATATCCGAGGCTGATTACTGAGACATTTTATCAGCGAAGCCCCCTTCCAATATTTAGATACGTCGTGGATACGCCTCGGGTCAGAATACGCAGTCTCCATATTCCGTATCCGTACTCCGTAACTCCGCAATTGGTTGTTCGTAGGTGCTCTAATCCGACATTGTCTTAGCGTTACCCCTCTTAATGTGGGGGAGATCTTGCAAGAAGCAGGTTCTTGCATAAGATGCTGTCGCTTTTGTACTGGAGCTTCACATGAAAGTGCTTGGGTTGCATCCTTCGGCTTCCTTCGTGTTGAGACAGGATCCATGAACGTTGGAAGACAGATGACACACTTTCCCTTTGGTACCTAGGTAACGGTGAAAGCTAGGCAGAAGTGAGATTTGAAATGGGATATAGGACCGATTGATAGAAGCAGAGATGAGACAGGAGTATATCTTGTCCATGAGTGTCATTCACGCCAATAGCAGTGGAGACCCTCGATTTTCTTCTAGTGTTCAGAGGTATATAGCTTTTGATTTGGTATAGTTTCTATTCTTTCTTATGATTTCTGCCTTTGGTCAATATTTTCCGTTTATCCACCAGATCCCAGAATAATGGGCGCCCCGAGGATGCGCCAGTAGCCCAACAGTGATCATCACGGGCAGCTCCTCTACCTAAAGTGCTGTAGACGTTAGGCTAATGCATTGTCTAAGTCCTTTTGTGGGTTTGCTCTGAACAAATCTGTGGTCTCGCCATTATTCAGGACCACGTCTAAGTTTGCCAGATTGATTTATAGTGAGGACCCGTACTCCGTACAGTATAGAACCCGGAGCTGGCTTTTATGGATCAGAGGGGGAAAAAGAAAAGGAATGTGTACTCTCCAGATGTCATCTCGAGGAGCTCGCTCAAATTTCCTCAAATTCACCATCAAGCCGGAAATCTCCGAGAATTACTTACTATCGAGCCCTATGCATTCCTGGATAATATCCAATTTATTCAAAGAGGCTCGTGTGCACTGGACAGATGGAAACCAGAGATATTGCCCAAAACAAACCAAAAAACGGAAAACAAGCCGCAGGGAGCTATTATGACATCTTTAAATAGATGCCTCGTGCTTCATTCTAGTAATAGATGGGTGCTCTTGCACCAACATATTGGTCTAACTAAGAGGTCAATTTATGTCTTCACTATGGATCCTGCAGCCGAGGTAGTCCGAGAGATTAACGGCGTGCGAGGGGCTTACGATTTCAGATGACGTGATATCTGATCCTAATCGTGTTAGCGTAGACTTGCTACCTAATAACCAGCGCTTGAGATGCTAAGGAGTCCACGGGTGGGCATGTTATCAATTACTCAGGTGTGCAGGTGAGGTCCGACAGCGTCCCCACCGGAGCACTTTGAGATTTATTCGTTGTTCGATCGGAAAGTATATATATAGGTGGTATACGGAGTATGATAGTTCGTCAAACTGTAGAGTAGTTAAGATAAACGAGGAATCCTTCATATTTTATGCCAATTCACTATAATACAACAAGATGGGGCCATGGGGTTTCCTATTCCTCAGTATTATACGTTATTCCGTGGTAGACCTAACTTAGAATTAACGAGTTTCTTTATTAACAGAAAAGGCCATTGTTTCTCTCTGTTCCATAGATCATATTTCAGATAAACCCCTTCTCCCTCCAGACTGTAATAATAACTTGGCGTTATCAACCAAGAGAGAATTTTCCTTGAAAGACAACATACCATCTAGCTGAAGGTGGATTTCTCCTGCCAAAGGTCAGTCCTCAACCCGTCCATTCCACTAACCGGCGAAATGGGCGTGCAGGCAAGTCCCTTCGTAACCCGCAAGCACCATATTCCAGATCCTCGTGACGATGGTGAGGGTTATTGCTGGGTTAGTGTCATACTCCTACCGGAAGCGAAGAATGGCACCCATAGCGACGAAGCGACTATGTTATTTGTAATCCGGAGGTGCAAATATGGCCGGACCGCCATGACCCATCAGCCGCTGCATGGGTTGGGGGACCACTGTATCTCGTTGCCAGTCAAATGGAATACACCTAGGCAAGATCTGCCTACAGTGCGGGATCAGGCTGCGGCTCTCGCAACATAGTGGCTTGTTCAAATTCGTGAAAATAGGGTTACTATTGACCAGACGATGGTTTTCGACGACCGCACCAAGGGAGGACTCAAAAACATGTTGGATGTGATCCCTCCTGAGTGGAAAAAACTTGAGTATTCAGATTAAAGCAAATAAATACCATGCGGATTGTTATTATAGCATCTGTTCTGTTAGTAGATCCCGCGGAGCTGAGCAAGATGGAGATGTGATGGAGATGTGAAGAAGTCTTATATTTATTGATTTTAATTAAGATCATTAATATATCAAAAATCAAATGATCAAATGGTCTGAATTGATTAGAAGAGTTGAAACAGGAAGTAGTTCTTTGAAATAGTAGATGGGTAGTTGAATAGCTAGATAGTCCCGAGGTCGCTCCTAAGGGATTTTGTCATCAAACGGCTTTCTGGTAGCACTCCAGGTGATGTAGAGTACTTCGGTGAGTGGTAAGACGCAGGGGAGATAAAATACATAAGATTCCCCGAGCCTGAATGCCCTTGTATCACACGGACACATATTCGGAATCTGGCACTTGATTTGAAGCCGTTTAGCATGTGCTCAACGAGAATTGTTGATGGCAAACAGGACTGTGTCTGGATGAAAAGCGGAGGGACTTAAAGGGAAATGGGAAGATTGAGTGGAGAGAATAACATTACCTAGATAGATCTGACACCCATGACATCTATGTACCAGCCTTGCGAACAACGTTCGTGAAGTGACTTCTAACACTATCGTATACCATGTTACATGTTATAAAGGCCACCGAAACAATATTGAATGGTATGTACAGTGAGAATCCTTCGATTATAGCAATTTGATAAGAGTCAATTCCCAATTCGGTGCGCATACAGAGCCAAGGGACAAGAAGAACGAGATCCCGTTGCAATTGGCAGTTCAAATGACCGATGAAGAAGTTGGGATAAAAATCATTGGAACGCTCTCGAATCCCTTGTCCGACTTTGGAAGACTATGTAGGAACGACCACGTCTCTTTCTCCTTCTCCTTCTCCTTCTCCTCTCCCTCTCTCCCTCTCTCCCTCTCTCCCCCCCCCCCCCCCCCCCCCC